GATCGCCTCGGCCTCTTACTGGTGGTCGTCGTTGGTGTCCTCCATGAGACGTTTCACGGACCCAAAGTAGAGGCACCCCGCCGAGCTGGAAGGTTGAAGCCCAAGGCACCCAGCTGCTCCCATTCCGCGGCGGGGAAAGATTCGTTCACGCGGGGTGTGTAAGCAACAAGAACTGTCCTCGTCCCCTTCCAAGCCTGAGTGCAGTGCCACACCGAGGGGTCGAAGACGATGTGCCCACCTGAGTCGATCTCCAGCGTGCGGCCTGGACCCAATGACGGATCAGATGGACATGCCTCCTGACCGCCCCCATCTTGAGTCCAGATGCCTCCGCCCCTGAAGGACGACAGTCCAGCGACCAGGTTCCGGGACCCCCTTTCGTTGCCCGAGTCCCTGTGGGGAGCCGTCTGCAAGTTCCGAAATATTCCCACGGCAGTGAATGTAAAGGAAGCATCCAGGCTCCGCACAAAGTTGCACAAAACCCTAGCGACCCCGGGAAACACCCTGGAATTCCTACGCAACCCGGAAAGGCTGCCGCCCACAGCATAGGCACCAATCGCAAATGATTTCGAATCATTCCAAGTGACTCCATCGCGGGCCATGTTCTCGCCCGGGAGCAGCTCAAACATTTCAAGAAGGATGTTGCACGAGACCTCACCCTGACTTTGACACGCTGCCAGAGCCTCGGCCGGATGAATCTTGGCCGAAGATGTTGCGTTCTCGAGAGTGTCCGAAGAACGAGCTTGCTTCTCCCCCGTCCCCGATTCGGAGGACATCGTTCTTTGGTGCGTCAGCATCGCTAAGCTGGCCAGAGCTTTGCATAGCTCAGGTGGATAAGCAGCAGTAGGAGCTGTACGAAAATCCCCATGCTCATCGGTCCCAATGAGAGGGGTGTGCTTGTGACCACAGGTCCGTGACAGGGGACCGCGATAGCGCTGAGCGCGATCCAGGCGGGGCCAGCCGGCAACACCCAGAGTACGCAGACCATGCCAAGTACCAGCCACTCGAGTAGGCTTCCGATGATCAGCACCATAGGCACATTGATGAAACGCCACCGTCGTAGCACGAGTAGCTTGAAAGACTTGCACAGCTTCTTCCCACATCCAGATAGAAGCCGGGGTGCCGGCATCCGTGGCGCCCAGAAACTCGGGATGCTCAAGAAGCCACGGAATGTTCTCCGAGGATGCTAGCGTGGCCAGCGACAGCGCACGACGAACTAACATGGTGCCCGCCTCGGCCTTGGCCTTCAAGGTGCCAGACAGCCACGGAAAGCCCTCGGGCCAGTCAGAATTCCTCAGAGGCGGCGGTCCAGATCGGTTTGAAAACGTAGCCCTGCTGAAAGTAGAGCAGGGCGGACTCATGAAAATTATAGTGAATTCATGACGACGAACTTGATTGAGCAATCTCAACCAGAATGAATCGGAGAGAACGTCCTGGGCCTCATCGCGTTGGATGTCCACTTCGTGACACCGAAAGGTGAGGCCCGCTGCATGACAAGCATCAGCCAAGCAAGACTTTAAATCAGCACGGCGTGACACTCCTGCAAACAAATAGAGGAGAGAAAACTCGACGGCAGGAGGAGGCTCGAGTCCTTGAGAGACGTTCTCCTCGGTGTCGTTGTCCTGTGAAAGTCAGTTGTCAGCTTTCGCTGTGTCAGGACGACGGACCTGCCGGCATGAATGATAAGGATGCTTGCCCATGCACCGCTGACATACATGAATGAAGCGACACGATGTGTTGGTACAACCCTCTTTCCGATTGTACTTCCAGCAGATGGGTTTGCCATCTGGTGTCTTCATCAGCTTGGCCGCTTTCTTCGCCGGCGGCGTGTCGGCTGCTGAAGGAGCAATGGTACGCTTGCCCGGTGTTCGCAATGGCTTGCCTGCTCGTTCCCACGCCGAAGGTGCCGTGGGTGGAGGAGGTACCGCCCGAAGCGAGAAAGGTATCACGAGATGCCTATTCAGCAGCTCCATGTCATGTGTGGCCTTCGAGAATGCGTCTTCTAAGGAGAGCGCTTCCCCGTCCCTGATCCACCGGTACACTGACTTGCGGGCCTCCAGCTCAAAGTGCAGGACCATGCTCCAGGTAGGCGTATGGCCGTCTCCGGCTACTAAGCCGGCCACCTGGGATCCCAAGACATAATCGCTGAACCTCCTCAAGACATCAGTGGTATTCTTGGACAACCAGGGGCGAAGGGCATGCTTGGTAGCTAAGAAATCCCAGGCAAGACCGATGCGTCTATGCCGCAGCCTGAGTTCTTCAGGGTTGTCCGGCATACCTGTCAGAGTCTTGCCAGGCTTAATCTTGAGCACGTTGGTTGTAGGATCAATTACAGCCGAATAGGCCTCAAGCTCAGAGTCCTCGAGAGAGGCTACCTCGGTGAGTAGCTCGGCTACCGGCTGATTATTCTCGATCTGTTCCAACTTGGCGGCCAGCACGGACTTTGCTGGTACCTCTTTGTCCTTCAGTTTGCCCACTGCAGCCTCCACCGCCAACCGCATGGCATGATGCTCGTTGGGTTGGACGAGACGCTGCTGTGTGCCCAGGCGCGCTTCAGCTTTGTTTTTCTCCGAAACTTGAAGATGCAACCTTGATGCTTCCCATGCAGCAAGCAGGCGAGCCACGTTAAGCCGCTCCGCAACCCCGGCTGTAGGGTCGATGGGAAGCTCGGCAATAAGAGCTGCTCTCACTCGCTCGCGAGACTCATCAAGCCCCGAAAACAAAGCAACGTTGCGAATGCCCAGCTCACCCAGCCTAGCCTGCAACACTGCGGGCACATCCGCCTGCTCCAGCTGGAAGCGGAGATCTGGTGCCAGGGTCTCCAAATGCCCCTGTTGAACAGCTGTCAGCGCGGGTGCAGCCATGTCGACCCACTACTAGAATCTGAAATGCGAACGTCCTAGCACATGTGACGCATGAGATTCAGAGCTCACAGCCAACTATGCCATCCTTGAGACCCGGATGAGCACGGCCATTTGTGATTGTAAACTGATCCCATCATGCTGATGCGATCACTTGCACACATGAGGCTTGCCAACACTGACACGCCCTCTATTTGTGCAACTCTGGATGGCAGACGCTTCGGTATGCCTAGCCAAGTACCACGGATCGCTCCTGATCCGAGGAATTTCTCATTAGCTGGGGCCATCTCCCCCAGACATAATTCATGAGTCGCTTGAGCTCCCCTCCGAGGATTGTGCTTCATCCGCCGTGCTGGAAGAAAAATCCTCCGAACTGGAATGATGTGCCTGCACAGAGGAGGAGCCTCGCTCAGGCTTGAAGCAATGCTTGCACTGCCAGTCATACAACACTCCTTCGAGAGATTCATAGTACTCGCAGTTAGCAACGGAATCAGGTGAAGTGCCGCAGCCTCCCACCCGATGAAGTCGACGCAGCTTCCTTTTGCCCAATACTGACACGAAGAACTTGCATGCACTTTTCCCTTCAACAATCTTCGCAGGCACCGCGAGATCTGAGGGCTTCGAGAGGTTCCCGCCATCGGAATCAAGATGATTCAACCGAAATTCAGCCCATCCCTCCAATGGCCTCAAGAGAAAAACCGCTCGATCAATGACTGAGTCCTCGACTGACAGCTTCCTGAGGATCTGATACAAGTCATCCAATCCTATGTCCTGAAAAGCCCGCTTGTCGCACAAGCATCGGACGACATGCCTTTGCAGGGAAGTGACAATGTGCCATGCACTCCGGATGTACTCGTCTGAGGCTTCCACCACATGCCACCTACCCAGGTAGGCCCGACGTTCTCGGTCGATGCCAGCCCATGAAGCTATGGTGGCTGTGAAATTTCTCTCCGAATGCTCCGTGAATGCAGCTACCACACGTGCATCCTCAAACAACCTGTCATCGGAAGGGCCCGGCATCCCCGTCTCGGTCATCATTGGCCTTGTCAGCTCCCACAGAAGCCTCTTGGCCATGGTGGACATGTCCACGTAGCTCGCCATGACCGGGAGGCACGAAGTCAGACCTTTGGTAGGCCTGGGGACCAAATAATCTCGTGCAAACGAAAAGCCCTTCGATGTCCATATCTCGAAGCCTGCCTCAAGCCAGCCGCTATGCAATAGCCATGCATCCTTGCAGACAAAGAAAGGCAGCCAGCGCACTCGCTTGCCAGCTCCCGAAGTCTTCGTGCGATCAAAGACCCCGCGCAAACCTTGCGGAGTCATATACATGTGCTCCGGCAGAATACCTTGCAGGTCGTTGGCTCGACTGGAGGTCCAGAGCTTCAAAAGACGTGTCCACGCAAAAGCCCTGACGAACTTCTTGTGGCTGGCATCAACCACCACAGACTCTAATGACATTACCATGACCAGCGCCACTGAAGGCGCCTGCTTGGTAGGCGGCGCTCCTGCTTCAAGCTCGGCGGTACGGACGCTGACCAAGTTCCTGACCAAAACATTTGAAGAGATGGCCAACTCAAGTCTGATGCCTCCCACCCTTTCAAAGAAGATCACCGCTGTCAAGACGGTCTGCAATCTGGTCTTTGCACAGGGCTCCTGTGCCAGCTCCTCTACATAGTTCAGCAAAATGCCCACATGTGAAGGAAAAAGCTTGCCCTCTGCTGCGAAAACCCATGCCGAAAATTTGCTCCACTCTCGAACATGTCTCCGTAGTGTAGAGGCCCGGACCGTTCCTGCTGAAGCCTCCAAGACAGCCTGACTATCCAAGGCATAACTTGCAGTGGTGCAGATGGGCATGGATGCTCGCTTGAGCTCCCTCACCAGTGCTATGCGCCAGCGACGAAGCTCAGATGCCTCTGCATCAGCCCTGGCCCGATCATGTTTGGCTAGAGCCATCTTCTTTGCAAGACGACACGGCCAGGAATGCAGAGTCCTCTTTGCACCTGCCTTTGCCTGGAGCCAAGTGGAGCTGGGTTCGAGCTCCAGCTTGAACCCGGCCGCTCTGCTAACCGCCACTTGTGCAAACTGTCCCTGGACCGCTCTAGATCTCCAAGTTTGCACAGCTCCTTGCGCCGCCTCGCCACAAAACTTCTCAAGAACCTCGACTGAAGAAAGCCACTCGGCTGACCCCATGGCCAGGCCGAAAGATTCAACAAAGTCCCTGCCAGTCCCTGATGTCTTGCTCGCCAGCAAACAAGTTAGCCAATATCTCGGGAGAGGGCTGCCGGGAATCTGGATCCAGGGCCTTCCTGATAGACCCAGGCAGATCCGACCACTCTAGGATCGCCTCAGGTGCCTCCTGAGGCTCTTCATCATCCATCGCGTATGACGATCACTCCGACCCCTACTCAAAGGAGCCCCCNNGCTGTGCCAACTGCACCTCATGCAATGAAAACTCCCCTCCAATACAGGGTTGGGTGGGTGGGTACTCAAAGGAGCCCCCCCTTCCCACTTTGGCTCCGCAGAGCGCCGAGCCCAAAGGTTCGGGCGAAGAAAAATGGTCAACTGTCCCAGTGGAATGGTTTGCAGTCCGAGAGACATGAAACAGCAAATCAAATACCATGAAATGCAAATCAATCGACAAAAATCATTTTCGCTAATGGCACAGGAAAATGAAGGTAATGTTATGTTTCTTAATCTCATTCAGATGGACACGTCCACCCCACGAGATTACCAACATAACAACCCGCCCCGACAGACCCGCCCAGAAAAAAGAGCCGGAGTTGT